CATGTGGATAATAAGTTGTTTGAAAGGTGGAATTATGACATTATGATTTCATTAAATCTTTTATTTCGAGCTTTGTTATGATTTTTTCTTTATCAAGACATGGAAGGAAACATTGATTGACTCGATAGCACTGCGGCGGTGATAAGTCCCTCCTCGCATATTGTATGCAAATTTTCTAACAGTTTTCTGACTGTTTTCAGATGATTTGGAATATCTTAATTCATGTCACAAGGAAATGATAACTGCCCGAATCTGTTCTTTGTGAGGAGATGCCTATGTCGTTCAAATTGCTATTCTTCCAACTGGGTTTTACATGTAGTACTGCCGCTGACAAGTTACGATTTATACTCTCAGATTCTCAGTGTTTACAAGCGTTCAATTAATGTTTTCCGCTTTTTTTTCTTTTGGTTGTTTTTACTTCAGAAAGCGGAAATCTGCTAACATATAAGAAAAATATCTATTTCCTGTTTTCTTTTTAGCGACCGATGGAAACTTCATGGAGAAATACAGCGTCACGCCGTCGTGATAACGCTCATGTTTATGACAAATGACCGGTGTGAGGATACTTTCCTGTAGATCAGCCGACTTCAACATGTTTCAAATGACATACAAGTATAACAGTGTATCTTCAGAGGACTTCAGGTTGCTCAAATTCCCATGAAAGAAGGTGCAGCACTCGGAACCTGGACAATATGCTCACGATTTGAGGTATATGTTTGTAGTTACGTCGAGTAGTCCTCCATGAAGTTTGATCAATTTTTTTAAAAAGATGACAACCAGAGGCGAGATTTCTCTTCGGGATATTACTAATAAGATAACATTCTTCCAAAGCCTCGTTCGTTTCATTTATCTGAAACATTTGTTGTTGAGAACATTAGATGTAAACATCGCCAAATTATGCAATATCTGATTTTGAGCTTTTTTCGCGAACTGCCCCTATAAAAAGTAGGGGCAGACCCGCAGAGATTTTTACATATTTAAAAACTAGAATATTATAACCAGCTAGGTGGGTAGTTTCAGTTCCAGTATTGGTGTACTTTTGGAGAAATTCAGATAAACGTTTTCCCTGTTTTACCCGACAACCAAAATGACCGAAACTGTACTGAGATGAATAATCTATTGGTGTGTTCTCATTCACTCCCAGGGAAAATTGAATGAATCAAAGTGAAAACGAATGATGTCACTATATATTGTACAAGTGCCAATTTGTAATGTTGTATTTAGCTTGAGATAGAGAAATAAACATTTCACTCTTTTTTTGCGACGTTTTTGTATGAAAATGAGGCCCTAGGCCTCGAACAAGCAGCCGTTGTTACCATGGCAACAAGAGTGCTGCGACCTTTAAAAAGGGCATTTTTGTGCATCCCCCCTGAGTGCCTAACTGCATGCAAAATTTGAAGGGGGGTTGAAAATTTCCATTTCCCAAGATGTTTGATTCTTACAGAGACTCGTTCTTAAGCTTGCCAGAAAGAACAGTCGCCTGGTCTCGTCTCCAACGTCGCACCATGGACTCGCTAAGTCCATAATCTCAAGCGATTTTCGAGCTGTTTCCTACAGCTTCAGCCTCCGCGACAACTTTTATCCTGATAGCCATAGTATACGAAGAGCGGCATGCTTTTAGCATGATGAGAAAAAAACAGTGACGAAAGAGATACTCGATTGAAACGTTAGTCAGGTTACAGTAACTGAGAGTATTATTGTGTTTCTACAGTTTCGTAGTAGTATTTACATCTTCACCGACTCGCTTTTTTTTCTTTTGTGGAAAGTAACATATTGTAATATTGTCAATTCAACATAAACAAAAAGTAACATATTGTAATATTGTCAATTAACATAAACAAAAATCTTCATCCAGGGTAATTATTTATTTGTGTTGGTATAAATTATTGCGTGACTAGCTTATGATATACATGGGGTAGGGGGAAACACAACGTAAAACCTGGGCTCCTGGCAAAAAGTAATACCCAAGCGTAATCTAATAACCGAAACAGCTTACTGGTCGTATAAAATCAAAATAAACAAGATAAGAGTGTTATTTTTTTGACAAATTGTAGTGATTTATGCCAATAAACGGTGGCGACAAGTAGGCACACCATGTACATTTCATAGTCGCTAGCAAGTAAATTTTGCCGGACTTTGAGTTCATCTCACGATAGAACAACGCAAATACACAAGGAAATTTTAACAGTGACTTTATAGCCATCCTTTTGTCTTTTAAAAGCTAGAAGCTCAATAGATTCTGTCATATCGGTCATTGTTATAACTGTCTTTGTTTTGATGCTACTTTTCTACATAGAAAAGTATGTCGGACACAAATATTCACCAAAAAATAAATATTTCTTTGCCAGCTTCAGCGCTCTGATTGGCCATAAAACCATTTTACATGAGCGTATGTAAACACGGTTTTCGTTCCTCTTTCATTAGTTATTTAATAAAAGAAATGTAAAATGGATAAACTCGATAAGCTGGAAACCACTCCGCTTCGCGTCGTGGTTTCCTACGCTTATCTCGTGTTCTCCCAACCTCCCGCGTGTTTACATCAGGTTATGTAAACACGGAAACCATTTTACATTTCTTCAACAAAACATGAAAGTAGGAGAGAAAACAAATTTTGGGGACTTGCCGCTGTTTGCCTGATGCATGTTGACATTAGCTCTTAAGTTACTTCTCCGCTCAGAGTTTCATTTACATGGATACGACACAGATTGTAGGTCCGTTATCTTTCGTTGGGTCTTTTAGTGACATTTTGTAGTTAGATATAGATAGACATTTGTGTCTATTTGTTCGTATCTGTAATCGAATGGGCCCAAGGGCAATTAAGGCTTAATTTCCCGCGTATTTTTTTCAATGTTCACCCAAAATTGCCCGAGTCGCGAAACAATTAAAAAATGTTTGGAAAACTTTGAAAATACAGGTGAAATTAGTCTTAAATTGCCTGAGGGCACTTGCGATTCCTTGTTTATCACAGAAAGGGCAAAATTTTTGCGGGAATTGCATTCGCGCACGCTTACGCTATCCGTGCGATGAATCCCTTTCAATGCCGCTACAAATGTCAAAACAAATGTAAGTGATCAATAGATACGATGAACCTTTGTCATTGTTTTCCTCATCTGGTGTGATTAAAGCCATTTTTTACTCGCCTTCTTTCCTCTTATAAATATCATTCAATATATCTTATAAGACGTTTTGGCGTGTTGTATCGCTGAGTATTTTTACGATTTGAGCTGTATTTTGTCGAATCCGCAGGGTAAGTCAAATACAAACAACGATTTTTACAATTATTTATCTTTATGCAATTTTTAGAAGGCGAGAAAAGCGAAGTAAACAGAGAAACGGTTTTTTGCGTAATGCTCGCGTCGGATTGGCTCATGAGACGTCAGCTTGTCACAAGGTGTCAAAACGATTCAAAGTTGAATTTGCTCTGAAATCATGCATATTTAAAAGTACTACAAGTACAAAAGTGTTCGTTTTTCAATGAATAATTAATCGCCAGTAACAAAGCTTTGAATCTACCGGGAGACATACTCTCAAAGACAGGGATGAGCTCTAAGAATATCAAAAATAATTTCCAAAACTAATTTTCATTTTCATCATCCTACTCAATCACATGGCGACGACACTTCGCAGGAATATATCGCTGTCATTACTTGAGGAGCTAAAGGCTGTGAACTAAGAACAATGGTACAGTTGTTAAATACGGCACCAGAGAAGGCAAGTGAAGCCAACCTGTCAAACAGGCTTTTTTAAAGTACAAAATAACCAAATGTCCAAAAAATCGTACATGATCGCAAGATATTTGTTCTCTACTTTGTGCAATTGAATGATAAGTTGAGATATCCACATCGCTTCTGCAGAGCCTCGACTTCGCGTTCTCGTATCTCAGTTTTCCCTCTACGCGTACAAATATTTCTCACGTGAGCTATTATGACGCTTAAAAACAGTAAAATCAATTAACGGCTCATTTGATCAGTTAGTTTCGTGGTACAATGGGCATCTAAACTTAGAGGTCTTCATAAAGTACCAAGCGTTCCCTTCAAAATGCAACCTTTGTTAAGGAACATTCTTACTTTGGTAGTAATCATAGTTTTCGTTAGTGAAGGCCAAATCGATGCAGTAAAAAGTCTCGAAGAACTTTACGGTAAGTTTAGAGATGTATTTTCAATTTCACCAAATTATCAATTTGGTCCATTTTTCCCGCCCGATTCCGAATTTTGAATCAGTTCTCTGCATCGTTGTCGAAGGACACTAAGGAGTGATTGCCATAGTTTTTCTTTTCTTGTAGGAAGATTTTTCCCACCTTAAGTATGTGATGTTCAGTACTCGTTCTCTGTGAATGAAAGGCTGATTCAGTTCGAGTAAACTATTAGACCGATGACAAAATTTTTTCTCTGAAACAATGCTTCAACTGAGCCCATGGTTTAATAGATTATTAGGAGAGTCATGTTTTTGCAGTGTTTTGAAACATTAGATCGAAATAGCTAGTACTGAATTAAAGAAAAATTACTCTCGTGAAAACTTCCTTCTAACGGTTTCAACGAGCTCTTGCCATGACGTAATGTGAAAATCACTGAACTCAACTGAAGCTTTGCTCGAGAAAACTTCATCCCCAAACGGATGTTTTTCTAACACGAGAGCAAGAACAAACCAGAGAAACGGATAACGTGTGACTTCTCTGATATTGATCAAATTCCGGTTTAAAAATTGACTAACAATATTAGGTCATCAACAGCCAATTTGGGCACTATTACGACATTGCACACGTAATGGAAAAGTTTACGAGACATTTGCGCGCGCTATTGTTCCCTAATATATCGTTTTTTACTCTTTTTTTTTTTCATGTAAATCACGGGCAACATATATTAATCACCAAGCGGGAGGTCCGTATTGGGAAAAACTGAGCCCGAAGGTCTCGGATGCTTCTCAAGGCCGCCACAATTGTTATCATGGCCAGTAAAGCGTCGCTTATCATTTCAACATCGTTTTTTTCCCTTTAAACAGGAACATGCGACAACGACGACGAATGTCTACTAAGTCACAAATGCGTAAACAAGAGATGCCAGTGTAAGGATGACTTGGTCGGAGATGCATATAGCTGCAAAATTGGTAATGACCTATTTGTTTATAGCCTTCAGAGCGGGCGTAATTTTGGCGAGCGAGTGCTTAATATCCTCTGTGACAAGTATGGCCGCCATCTTTGATTTTAATGGCAGCGGTAGGCTCAGAAGAGAAAATAATTTGTGCCAGGGGGGTGAGTGACGGTCACAAATGAGGAGAGGGTTGTGGGCGGGGGAGTGAATATTACTTTTCGCCTTTTCCAGGCCCCCCTCCCCCCCTTCCCTTTCACTGCACGCTAATTTGTTTACTTCATTTGATACTTGCCAAGCTCCGTATCGGAGACACGTGGTTTCGATCTCTAGTTGGGTCTAAACGGCGGAAGGGCGGTATGACAGAATGGCAGAAAATTACTCATATCCTAAAAGACAGAATGGTGGAAAATCACCCCAAATCCTAAACGACGGAACGGTGAATACAGTATTTTCCTTTGGGTGGGGGCTACGACCTGTAAACAGAAAACTTGTATTATGTTAACCAGGCGATAGAGATACGCGGATTTTAGGAAGCCATTTACATGAGAGAAACCTCAATTTAAAAAAAAAAATCAATGAAGAGAACATCAGACACTCAAAGACGCGATTACGCGAAAGGGGCTATCCAAATAATCTGACGCTCGGACGCTCGATCGCTCTGACGAAGGGCTAACGCTCGAAACGTCAACTTTTTACTCTTTACGGTGGCCAATTTACGTTTTCAACTCAGTTGTTAACACTAAATTACCTGCTATACTCTCCCACCGACGCATCACCACAGTTTCTTTCGAAACTTACCCCTTTACCTAAATAATCTAATTGAAAGAATTCTCACAGAGGTTGATTTCATGGACAGGAAAACAACACTCCAGGAGAAATACAGAGTGCAACTAACCACATTGCCTTTTGTTACACAATATAACCCATCAGTGATCAGCCTTGAAAAATATTTTATTGAGCAACTGGCAAATTACGGAGAAGCAACCAAAGCTTCAGAAAATTTTTAAAGGGCTTCCGATAGTTTCATGTAAAAGGGGGAAAATCATTTAAAGGCATGCTTTAAAAGGTCTCAAAGGTCTGAAGGTCAGTTACCTCGAAAATAGCCTAACCACGAAAACAGCAAAAGTCGCGTCAGCCTGTTAACCCAGCAAATACCTCGACAACCACAAAATCATCTCAAACAAACTGAACAGCCAATATAATGTTACACATTACGAGGAAAGATGATTTTTTGAATATTGATTTCATTTCCGCGGAAGTTATCATCATGAGGGGAAAAAAGGACGAAGAAAGATCTCACTCACTTACGTTCACGACCAGAACACCGCTATGATATAGCAAAGGAAAAGACAATAATAATTATTATTAAAATAACCATTATTCCGTCTTTTAGGATTTGGGATGATTTTCGACCGTTCCGTCTCTTAGGATTTGGGGTAATTTTCTGTCGCTCCGTCTTTTAGGATCTGAGGTAATTTTCCGCCGTTGCGTCCATTGGGATGTGGGGTAATTTTCCGTCGTTCCGTCTTTAGGAATTTGGGTAATTTTCCGCCGTTCCGTCTTTAGGAATTTGGGTAATTTTCCGCCGTTCCGTCTTTCAGGAATTGGGGTAATTTTCCGCCGTTCTGGCTTTTCGGGCCACCCCTATCGTGTTGTGCTGATGAAAGGAGTACAAAGACCTTATGCCCATCTCCTCCCCTCCTTGGATCAGAAATGGATAGTGAACTCCTGGGGATCGAGGATGCAATTAACTAAAAGATATCTGCAGAATTCTGCCGTGCAGCACTTAATTTTTTTAATTCTAAGTAGCGTTGATAATTCGAATCAAATAATTAAGGTTCACTCATTTTGTTAGATCATTTTGTCTTATGTTTTCCTTTTAACCAGCGGACCCGCCGTCATGCAAAACGGGCAAAGACTGTCATAAAAAAGCAACTTGTGTGGAAGGAAAATGCCGTTGTATGGGAGTATTTATAGGAGACGGCAAACAATGCTCACGTAAGAGACATTCATTTTGAAATAGAGTGTTTCGATTGAGTATCGTGAAACGTTTGACAACCGCGTTGCGGTAGACGATTTAATTCTCGAGAGCTTGTAGATCTGTGGTGCTGACTAGAAGGACCGAGAGCGGAATTTGTGTAGGTCTTGAAGCATCGCAAAATTGGTTGACAATCTTTTCTCGAGGTCAGCAGATGAACAGAGATCGAAATTCCACGATGAACCTAACGAAAAAAATTGAATATGTATCCACTCACAATATGACAATTTTTTTTTTCAGGTGGACTAACAGTTGTGAGTTGTAACACAAAAGATTATTGCGGAGATAAAGGGTCGTGTGTTATTCATCCTCTACTTCCTAATTTTAGCATCTGTAAATGCTGGGTTGGATACGTGTTAAACGACAAGCAATTATGTGTCGGTGAGTCACCATGTGGGGTTGTAATACTAACATATTGTCTGAGTGAGGGAGGGGAGGGTCGTACGAGAAAATATCTGGCTGAAGGTCCGAATCGAGAGCCAAAACTTTTCTTGTTCATCCCAACCTAACTCAGTCACTAGGCATTTTATCGCGACCGTTGCTCCTTCTCCCTCGTCCTTCTTTTTGTTCGCTGTTCGCGGGGCCTCGTGGCTTTTTCCAACCCTGCGGCCAACACACGGAATTTTGTCTCAAGGTTTTCTCTGAATTCTACGGCGAATTACAAACAATCTAAAGCCTCTTTTTTTTAATAATTTTTGCGGCGCGCTGAATGAAACGTTTCAAAAGGACTAACCGTCGAAAAAGGACACTGATTTTTAAGAGCGATTTTACAAACAAGCAGCATTGTCCTTTTTTCCTATAATCACAGAAAAACGTTCTTCCTACTTGAATAAACTTTTAAGGTGTCGTGGCAGGCAGGAAAATATGTAGCTCGAGGTAACTAAGTACTGAGCGTGCGTAGAAATAGAGCAAAATAGTTTCCCCTCTGCTTCGACGTCACTGATGAGTATTTTATACGATTGCCGGTTTCTCTCTTTCCTCCTTTCCTCGCGCATCTTACACCCCGCGAGGTCGTGCAGCTTTCTCAGGCCCTACTGGTGCTACCGTGTACGATCTTCATACGGGAATTTTCCAACTCTTGAGACACTGCCATTTGTATTTTCCAATCTTTTCGAGTCATTTTCGGCTTTCTTGAAGGGCACAATCTTTTTTTTTTAATTTGGGACAAAGCTTCTTCAGAAATAATATAGATAAATGAACGTCAAAGTTTTACAGTGAATGTTTTACAGTGAATGTTGCTTGGCATGCGAATTGCCTGAAAACTTCATATTTTCATGATTCGAACCAGCTGAAACTTGAGCCGTGTGCCTTCAGGAAGTATCAGAAGCTTATAACCTAGAGAGAGTTATAAGCCTCTGGAAGTATTCAACGGTCCTTTCCTGTTAACCCTTTCACTCCCAATATCTCCTTAGTAATTCCTCCTACTGTCTGTCATCCAATTCCTGTGATGTTAGTTGCGAGAATGTGGCATGAAAACAACTAATAATCCCATCGTTGCCGTTATTTTTCATTATTCTCATCACTTGTCTGTTTGATTTTGTAAGGAAAAATTCTATCTTGGTCACTTGGAGTAGTTACAGGGTTGAGGAAGATAATTTAAAGATCTGAACGGGTAAAATCTTGCAGTGCAGAGATTCGTTAAGGATTATGGCCTTAATTCATTTGTTTCAGCGCCAAATATACCATGTACAGACGACAAAGATTGCTCTTCTAAGGCCAAGTGCGAGCATGGACTGTGCGTTTGTCAAGGAAACCGAGTGGGAAACGGCCGCGAATGCAGAGGTAACCAGTCAAGTAGACAAATAAGAGCGACGTACTGATGCTTATCGTCGAGTCTTTGTTGCTCAGTGCTGCATTTCGTCGGGGCGGGTAATCCGAGGGTTTGAGGTTTAATTCCGCACGAAGAATATTTCCTTTGTCTCACTTTTATGACATAACGATAAAACATCCCTCTCATTTATCAAGACAACGTTCTCCATTTCGAGTCTCATGAGAAAAAAATGTGAATTCTGAATTTTTTAGACGCCAAGGTGTGCACAGGGAAATGTAGACCAAAGAAAACCAAAGGTATTAAGTGTCTCGTTGATCCAATGATGCCACAAGAGAAAGTCTGCAAATGCCCACCGAATCAAGTTCACGCGCCTAGAACTGCCCATATTTGTGTCCGTAAGTCCACTCTTGATTGACATAATTAATTTATATTTGGGTGTTTAGAGATATATGGGAAGGGGTATAGTACTCTGAGGCCAGAGAATTTAATTTTCGAAAGTCGGGAATCCATTTAAGTAAGTTTTGATCAATGTGTATCAATATTTTATACCTGAGAAAGGGATATTCCCTTAAATCCAGCTAGAAGGCCGGTTTTCCTTTTTTTTTTTTTTTTTTTTTCACATTTTCACATTTTTTTTCACATTTCGGAAATTTTAGCGTTGTAAATGGACTATATTTTGTTTCCCAAACTATTCCATATCAACGGTTTCTCGTGTAACCTAACACCGCGTAACACAACGAGTGACACTTCAAAGAATAAATACATATGTGTCCGAGAATTAATTTTTCGTCTTTCTCGAGATGTGAGCTTGGGACGTCTCTGCTCAAACTCCTTAATTGCAAGCGCAACAACAACCTCAAGAAACCTCAGCCCAGCAGCCCAGGGTTGTAAGATTGTATGTAAACGCGTTTTATTTTTCGACCACGGTTATAGCGTCCCCCACCTCCATGTAAACAGGCCCAAAAACTCGTCGTCGACCACTTGGAGAGGACGAGTTTTTTCAGGTTGTGTGACCGTGACAGAATTAGTGCGCATGCTCAGTATGCGCGCGAAACTTGTCCTGGTCCTGGTCCTAGTTCTCGGATCTGAAGGTCTCTAATACTTACACTAACAATACCTATGTAAACATTACGCGCCTCTAATAGTTGTAACATGAGTGCAAAGCTGCAACACCAGTTCAAATTACAAATAGCACGCGCGCTGCCAAAATTTCGTCTGTCCTCACTTTCTGTGATGCTTTTTTCATGTTAATCATTATCAAGTAATAACATGATTTCTTGTGCAATTCGATTTAAATAAGCGCTTGTAAATTTTCAGGACTACAGATTGCACTCTCCCGGGCTCGTGCAACTTTGTTGTACTCTGAAAAATTTTACTCCTACTCACATACACCCAATTGCACCCGAAATCATGTTATTACCTGGGCATGTTTTTCTCGAAATTTGTTGCAGCCTGCATGACTGACAAGCAATGTAAAGGGGATGAGCGCTGTGAGGATTATAAGTGCAAGAAACCTGGTAAGACTACCGTTTTTGCAAATCCAAATTACTTTAGAATTTCTGAAAGTGTTTGTCCGTGTGAGAGGGGGAAAAGGGGATTACTTAAGTCGATTTTAGCTTGCTACAAGCCGCTGGCCTCTCAGAACCCCCTACCCCCATTCTAGCCTATAGTCTTCTTTGGGCAAATTTAATTCTGGCAATTCCAACTCAGTCACTTTCTGTAAATGCATCTACTTTATGGAGCCTTTTTAGAAGGTGGTTCTTAAATGAATTGACAAGTTGTAAACTTACTCGTAAAATCCCGCAGAAAAAACCTAAAATTCAACCCTTTTATAATCAATCCAGTCGTGAAAAAGTGACCTTATCCATCGACACATCCCCATTAGGCTATTAAAACGAAGTTTCCCCCCCCCCCTTCCTTCTATGAGGGAACGACCGCTTGGCTACGTAATATAATACTGATGAAATTCCTACATAAATAAAATTTTTTAACATCACTTTCCGAGACTTCCTGAATGTTCTTCAAGCTCGGAAAAGTATCGATGTGAAAATTTGGAGAAAGTCACCGGTAACTGTACCGTCTTCGCACCTCAAAGCCATTTTGTGAGTGAAATTTCAAAAGAACCGGCGCGCGCCTGAGCAAGAAGCTCTCATGTAATTGGCTAGTCATGTTAGTAACCATAGCGACACCAATATCCTCACACGTGAAAGATAAAAATAGTACCTTCACTGCGCGCGATGAAGATATGAGTTTTTAGTAAAAGTAAAAATCCTGGTATTTCATCAGTATCTATATAATAATGCTAAATATGCTATTCAAAATTTGCAATGGTAGTTTATTGTTCTCTGTCAACCGTTAGTATCAGTCGGCTAAATAATTGTTGTTTTAAAACAGATTTACATCCGTGTGATTCGTCCAAGGACTGCCATAGAAATGCTGAATGCCGCGATAAAAAGTGTCACTGTAGAGAAAAGTATACCGGGAATGGATTTAATTGCTCAGGTATAGCGACAGTGGGGAAGTGTAGGAGATCAGAACCGTCTCCTCCCATTCAAACTTGTGGGGCTTTCACCTCTTGTATGACGCTAAGATTCTTGCAAAGATAAAATACATACTACTTTGGGTATGCAGATTTACTTGTCTAGAAACATTTCCTGGCCTACTTAAGGCTCTGAAGTTAAAAAAGAATTGTTTGTCTTCTGATTTAAATTTTGGACTCCTTCGTTAGAAAACTCATTTACTAGTTCAAACAACGTAGAAAATAAATTTTAAACTGGTTAAATGAACCACAACAGTTGGCTCGAATAAAAATTTCGAGACTTGGTAGAATTGCAAACAAAGTGGCAACAACTTTGCCCGAACAAAAGCTAAAAAAAAAACCCAACTAAACTCAGTTAAAACAAACAGCAAAAGTACGAGGAAAATGTCCACTTCAGTTTTCTAATGTCAAGGTTAGAGTTCTTTGACGTGATTGGCTATTCGTTACTAAAAAAGGGAAGACGTAGGGGAGAGAAAGATAAAAATTGTTATTTGAAATCTAAAAGCAAAAGAAATTTTCTACAACCCTCCCCCCCTCCAGCCCCCTTCCTTATCAAAATTTCCTGTGTCCTTCTCTACAACGAATGATAGTACATTTCAAAGCTACATTTTCCAAGGTAAGGATAGGTTGTTTCGCGAGAAGATGCGCACCTTGATAAGTGCACAAAATTGAGCCACTTTTCCATGTTATGAAGATGTTAAGCTAAAAAAAGTCCATATAATATAGCTTAACATTCGTTTTCGTTTTACTGTTGATCAATCTCCTAGCTAGCCATGCAAACGGTCAATAATTCAGTCAGTCAATCAGTCAGTCATTATTTCAGTCATTCAGTCAGTCAGTTGGTTAATCCATCAGTTAGCCAGACAGTCAGTCATGCAGCTGGTCAGTCAGTTACCCGGTCAGTCAGTGGATCAATCAGTCAGCCAGTCAATCAGTCGGTCATTATTTCATTCATTCAGTTAATAAGATGATTAAACAACTGTCAGCGGTTCAGTCGGTTAAGCTGCCAGTTAGGCAGACAGTCAGTTGGTCAGTCGGTCAGATAGCTGGAGTGTGAGTGGGCGAGTCAGTCCGTCCGTGGGTCAGTCAGTCAGTTACCCGGTTAGTCAGTCAGTTTGATAACGAAATAAACTGTCAGTCGTTCAGTCATTTAATCTGTCAGTTAGCCAGAAAGTCAGTTGGTCAGTCAGTCCGATGGCCTCTGAGTCAGCCGGTGAGCTAATCAGTCAGTCGGTCAATGAGTTACCAGGTCAACAGGTCAATTAGGTAATTAGATAAACTGTCTGCTGCTCACTCGTTTAATCTGTCACTCAGTCGGTCTGTCAGTCAGTCAACCAATCAATAAATCGATCCGTCATTATTTCATTCATTCCGACAATCAGATAGTTAAATAAACTATCGACCGTTCAACAGGTTAATCTGTCTGTGAACCTCAGTCAATCACTGCAGTTAGTCAATAGTCATTCAGTCAGACATCAGGGCAGTTGCTCAGTGACTCAGACTGACCGATAGCAGAGCCAACAGTCAGTCAGCAAGCCGACGAAACTAGAATAATCGATAGAGAACTCCTCTTTCAAAAAACGTGCTTACTTTTTATGGGTCTGCACCATTTGATTTGCGATTTGAAAACGTTGGGTCTTCCTTCTTTTTCGTTTCTTTTCAAATGAACTATCACTAATTATGGTCAGAATGCAACTTGAGTCTATTACTTCTTTCATACGATGTAATGTTTTAATTCCATTGTTTTCTATCACAGAGTCCTTAGAGTGCCCAGTCTCATATGAATGCGATGCCAACTCCGTTTGTATTAGACCTCCCGAGCATGCTTACAGTCCTTATTGCAAATGCAAAGCCCATTATGAGAAGTCTAATGATGGCGCCTGTGTGGGTAAGATGTTACATTTTTTTGAACGATAAGTAGCTGTTGTTCAGTATTCAAATTCTTCAATAGCGCTATTTATTTGAGGCCCATTCGCCCTGGAATTGATAAATTTGAAAACATTGTTTTCATTTTGAAACTTCCCCCAGCATTTCCATCCACGCCGTGCCGGATAAACTTCGCCAAATGCAACAATTATTGGTGACAGAAACGCTTTACATGTGCGTAATGGGAATAAATCAATCATTTCGTCAAAAATTAGAAACAGTGATCTCGGCATTTTCGAAAAGCTACATTTTCGGTCCGAGTTGGTGTCAGTGGACGGTGCTGGTGTTGCGCGATGTTGATGAGTCGTCAGTGTGCATCTCCAATTTATGAATCACTGTAACAAACCCAACGTTGAATGTCTTTAGTCTTCTTTTTTTCTGTTTACATGGAAGAGAGGCAGATTACCACTAGTAGAGTGTTGTAGATTTTGAGATTGATCATCATGGATGTACTTTTGTTTATCTATGGATCATTATTGTCATTTTTTTTTCAAGAAATTACTGAGTGAACATTTGAAAAATGTGTGCTTTAGTGGAGAAGTTCGCAAAATAATTGTTGACAATCAATTTTAATAATATGATGGACCAAAGTTAAATTACTTCGGGACTACCTCCTCCCTTGCATGAATTTTTATGTTCTAGTCAGTCAGACATCTCTTATTCTCGTCTCAGTGCATATTTTTTAGCGCGGGGGTTTCAAATATATTTTCCGAGGTGCATGAGCAGAACACATTGCAATCAAACAAACATAGAAGACTAATTTTTAGGGGCAACATAACGTGTATTTATCTTATCTCCATTGTATAAATGCAGATATAGACGAATGCAAGGATTCAAACGCTTGCCCAGCTAAGCAAAAATGTATAAACACGCCTGGTGCCTATGAATGTCATTGTGAAAAAGGATACAAGAAGGGAGATGGTGACGAGTGCGTGAGTAAGTACCACCGAAACTTCCAATTCGAGATTTTTCGTAAAGGTTTGAATGATTTAAATCCCTGATGCTGACCAGACAGTTTACTGACCCAAAGGTCTGCTGCTGCATACAGAGTAGTTTCTCAAAGTATTTTCGATCTCCACGCGTTTGTAAAATCGGAACGAGAATTCTCTGTTACCAGTTTGGTTTATTCAGGAACCTTCCGCACACGCTTTGCTGGAATAGGGCAACGAAGTTCCCATGCGCAACAACAATGTCAAGCTACGTTTTGCTGTGAACAATTTTCTTCTCGTGGCTAGTTGTCCTTGCGTTCATCCGACTTAGCTGACCCTAAGAGTATTGTTTGTATGAACACAGTATTTTAATTACACCCAGCTTTTCAATCTTTACCTTGAATATCCATTATAATTATAATGAAAAGAAAACTACACGTTACCTCGAAGATATAAATTTTATGTTCGAGTGGCAAGAACAATAACTGACTCGTTCGCTGCGCTCCCTCGTGAGATATTGTTCTTGCTACTCGAACAGAAAATTCATATCCATGCGCCACCGTGTAACATCCTCCATTCATCATTTTCTTTTCTGTTATCAAACACGAGTGTGCCTCTGGGTCAAAGTGTATCGGTGATGGAGAGAAGTGTGAAAATCAACCAGGGGGACACTTTTGCTTATGCAAAGCGGGATATGTGAAGGCTGATAAAAGATGCGTCAAAGAACCTCGTAAGAATTTGTTGGCATAATATGAGTGTTCTTGTGTATGATAGCGTCCTCGTGTGACCTGACCTGCTTCCTGATGAGGGATACCTCAATCCAAGGTTTCGCTCCTTTTCGTCAACTAAAATTTATGGTCATAGGTGATGCTTATTAGGTTTTTAAACTGTATTAGTCTACGACTCTTGCAATAAATAAAAAAATTGAAACGTCACAAGCACTGATAAGCAACGAAACACATGCATTCGCCTTCGTGGAACTGCTTAGAGCTGGTTAATCAAGTAAAAGTGGACATCAATAACAGTAGGAGATAAAATTCGTATTAAAGGGCAGGCATGCAATATCCTCTATCTATCTTGAACAGAATGCAAGTGCGCATCGCACGAAGAATGCTTCAACGGAAAGTGCAGGTGCAAGACAGGATACAAGAAAAATTCAAAGGGGATGTGTGCTCGAAAACGTAAGTACTGTGCACAAGTCCAAAAACGCGCGAACGGGTCAAGAAGAATATATCGAGAACTGAAAGTTCTAGACGTATCTTTTTAATTTGGATGCTTGGACTCTGAACTCCAATTGTGCAGGGGCTCTTACTTTCCTGGTATGAATTTCCATCTGTTCGCCATTTGGAGGATAAATTATGTTGAGATCATTCGATTGAGCCGATGGTGTTCTTTGTTATCAGAATGTATTTCAAAGGGTGAGAAATATGCGTTAACCAGGAGCCCATGGGCTGATGACTTGACAATCTTTGATCAAATTATTCGTTTTCTATTTTTTAAGGCTCTGCTCGCCAAGTTGCTTCAGGCCACTCTGTACACGTCACCAGTCACCTGGGCACCCTCGGCCTCGTCCTTACACTGCTTGTGCGCCTGGCCGTTACAGCATAAGGAACCGCGCCTACTGCTTGCTTTGCTGCTGCATGCTCATTCTTTTAACTTTTCTCTTTTTGTCTTACAAAAAATCTGTATAAAATTATTGTATTTGTAAGAGATATTTCTATATGTGGTACAAATCTATACGGATGATTCAAGAAAGTTTGAAAAAATATATTTTTAATTCCTTACACTGATATCTATTCTTTCAAACATAATTTTTCACGTTAAAATAACTTTTTATCTGAACTTCATCAATTGTACTCTTTCACTCGTTGTTTCATTGAGTTTTTTTCGTGTCTCTTCAAAGATTTCTCACTATTTTTTAACACAACCATCAAGTCCTCTTGTTATCCTAAATAATGTGAAGTTACTGATATTTGATGTCAAACATTACCAGAATTGAACTTCTTACCTTTTCAATCAATAAATTTGCTTCGCTTTGCTCGCTTAAAAAAATGTCGTCTTTGATGATGTTTTGTCTGTGTGAATTGATCTCCAGGAAGATGTGAGGGAATATATATCGCACAATCTCAGCTGACTGAAAATCTCCCTCAGAGGATGAAATTGTTAGTCATAATGAAAAGCAACGAGGTCAATAGCTTACTTAAGCTTTTAAACAACGAATAAGGCTAAATCCCTTTAAAAAAATCTCATTTTCGGAGTAGAGCGATTTATTCAGGTTTTCGATTGGGTTATACTAATTTAGGACTGGGGCTCAAAAGAAATAAGTATGTTCCAAAACAATTACAGGTGAATAGCGTAAAACGCGCGCGCTGATTGGCTACTCAAACTCCGAATACCGTTTTTTAGTATATGCCACTCAGGTTGTTATTCATCTCTACTTAATGATTGCTAATAAGGAAATTTTCAACTACAAATAGTGCATTTCTATTGTTCTGATTGGTTTATCGACTCATATCTTGAATCACCTTAGAGAAATACATTGCACCAACTGTTGCGGAGCTGAAAAAAGGCTCCACTAAATATCCAAACTTTTCGCACTTGTCACATACAAGACTGGTTACCGCCAAATCAGCGCTACGCGTCATTTTGGTTATTTACCATCTCATTTTCAACGCGCGCTCATGGAGCAATCAGTTAACTATTCACTTCCGAGTAACACACGTGGGATTTGCACCCAAAAATGTTATAATCGTTGCAGGAATGAATGAGTCCAAATCATCTTTTTGTGCTATATTATCTTACTGCTTTAATGTATACCAAAATAACTATTCACCTTAGTATCGGTGGTTAGCAGTGGATATCTGCTTCGTTGCTCGGTAAATATCCACCTCCAGCCACCTCCACTTCAAAAAATAGGTAAATAGTTGAAAACATAATTATGAAATCGCGGGAACAGTAAGAAAACCAACAAGCTTTTTGGTTCTAAACTTCTTTTGTCTGGTGAACATTCCTGGTGTAGTTTGTTCCTGCTAGGGACTCCGATGTTTCCAGAGAATTAAAAGATTTGTTTTCACGTTTGGCATACCAAGGTTAGCCGTCTTCAAGATTGTGATTCGACCAGTACGTCAAACTCAAAACGATCTTAATGATCTCAGCAACCCCTTTTTAAAGACTTATCTCTGACACGAGAGTTGACCCAGGTTTTTTCCTCCCGCTTCACATGAAAAGACAGGAATTTCTCTGAGGTTTTGGTATCAATGGTCTGCAATACGCCAACCTCATCGACTATGCGACCTTTCGAAAGTCGTCTTAAACAGACCTGGAATTACTCTTGTCCTGGATTTTTTATATCTCAATGCGATTATTCAGTCTAAGATGTTGAGAGAAATGCCACATTCAGAGCAATTTAAAGGTCTTCGGAACTTGATAGCTTTGCAATGTTTGTGTTTGAGTCAACTGAGTAGATGTGCACCCAGTTCAAAGGAAGTAAGTACGCTAGCGCTTTAAGTTTTAAAAATCTCAAAAATATCTTCTCAACTTCAATCTTCTCAGAACAGTTAACTTGGATGCAGTTTTCCTCGCTCACGTCGAGTCATATCTTACTTGAGTCATTGTGACGTACATCATCAGGAAACTACTAAACGACTCAAGTAACCAGTTTCTTTCGTCGCGCTTCACTTAAATGCTGACATAGACCTCTGGAAATTGACTGACCGACTGACCTTCCCTCTAAAATTCTATCTTTGTCAAGACAGATTCTTTCTTTGGTGATGATCACAATTATCTGTGTCAAAGCTGCAAATTGTAAGTTTTCTTGACTTCTTTTTGAAATACCTTTTCTTTGGAAGTGCTTTGAGTATTTTGAGGGTTTTTTTAATTCCTCACTAGTTCTGAGCATCGTTGTTGAGCAATGTTATGTTAGAAGTCGGGGGCTCGGAAAACGACGCTTTTCAGCTTGCATGATGATCCAAGAAAGTTTGAAAAAATTATATTTTTAATTCCTTACACTGATATCTACCCTTTTCAAAATTTTTTGCATTAAAATAACTTTTCATCTGAACTTCATGAATTTACTTTTTCACTAGTTGTTTCATCGAGTTTGTTTCGTGATTCTTCAAAGATTGGCCTGCCTTAAACTTGTTACTCAGTTCAACTTATCCTTACAAAGTACATATCCCAAACAGGTGATTAACATGCAATAGAGGTATTTCGCTGAGCCAAGTTATGTTCTTTAGATAGTAAAGTTATAATCAAAATAACTACTTCTATGGTATGGTACATTGCTCACCTACAATAACCGCTACATCTGTCATGTCTAACCTACTAACTAAATGAACAAGAGCAATAGGTCTAACAAACACCAGGTCTATCCTCAAAATGTGTCCAGAATAAGGAAGGTATCAAGGCAGGTTTGTAAATCACCATCCACAGCCACTGTGTATTCTGGCTGGCCTAAAGCAATAAACAACCAGCAGCCTTCCATCCGCTTCACCATGGAGACAGAGAGAGACAACAAACTCGCCTTCCTAGACACCGCAGTTTTAAGAGAACCTGACGGTCGCCTCACCACCAGCGTATACAGGAAGCCCACGCACACCGATCAATACTTAGCGTATGATTCACATCACCCTCAATCAGTAAAACGGGGTATTGTTAAGTGCCTTTACGAGCGCGCCAAACGTCTCGTAACAAAACCTTCCGTCATTTCCGAGGAGAAAAAACATCTGTCATCCGTTCTGGTTTCTAATGGTTATCCTTTTTCTTTCTTGCAGAAACTTACCAAGACCGGAAAACCAAACAACAGTGCCGAACTCGCCAACGAGTTCAAAGCTACTGCGGTTTTACCTTATGTCAAAGGTCTGTCCGAACAGCGTCGCCGCTGCCTACAACAACAAGGCGTACGCGCTGTTTTCAAGTCGGAGACTACGCTAAGATCTCAGTTAGTACGACCAAAAGACGCTGTCGACCCGGCTAAACAAGATGGTGTAGTTTACAGGATTCCCTGTGAATGCAGCAAGGTGTACATCGGCAAGACTGGAAGACCTATGCAAGGCAGAATTAAGGAGCACGATCGAGACATTCGACACGCCCGTACCGAGACCTCCACCGTTTCAGAGCATGCCCACAACACCGGACACAAGCCATCCTAAAACGAAGTAAAGTTTATTGATCGTGACTACACGCGCAAGGTCAAAGAGGCAATTCATATAAGACTTCCCCCTAACAACATCAACAGGGATAGTGGAATAAAAATTCCAGAAGCGTGGATGCCCATGATCAAAAAGCACAACAACAGGAGAGCCGTGTGACAGCGGACCGCCGAGGGAGCAAATCACTGAGTGAACAGAAAGGATCGAAATGCACCAATCAGAGCTGTTGAAAAAACAACTAATCACAGCAGGGCATCATGCTTTAAAAGATCACACATGACCAGTCGACCTCATCGCCTGAAGAAGACTAGCAGTATGCAGTCGAAACGTCGCGATCTACATCACACGTGACTACATCGTGAGACAAACGAAAAACTTAGCTTTTATTTTTATTTTAAGGTGGTTTAATTTTAAAGAAAAGAAAACCAATTGTTTCTAACTTTGTTCTCAGAGAAAAAAATTAAATTACATAAATAACGAGATATGTAAAGCTCTCCGCTTTTGGCCAATAGAAGAGGTATATTGAGCACTACAACACTAAACGTCACTTGATACCCTGTCTCACCGAACCCCAGTCACTTACATAACATAAGAGGCAAATCACCATGGATGTTTATTGTACATACCATTAGAATCATTATATACATAAGCTTCACAAAGTCTCAAATTATTGGTTTCCCAGAGTCTAATGTAGAGATATCTAGCAGTAATAGTTCTACCGTAGTGTACATGTCAGCCTTTGTGATCAGAAATATTTGCCTCTGTGAAATTTCTACAAAGGTAATTAAGGAAATCCTGACCACACACATTAAAGTTATCTTCCAGGTAAGGACCCTGAATAAAATTTAAAAAGTTCTTCTGTAGATAATAGAAAGAACAAAGTGAAAGTGTAAACAAACAATTCTTCCAACAAAACTCACCGGCATAGATAAGAAAATGATTAGCCTGTGAATCACAGCAACGACTCCTAAACTGAATGAAGACATGAGCAACATAAACTACCTCCTCTAAGTCTAGTCGCCACCAAGCATTAGCTTGGCTGGTGGTAGAACTACAGCTTTAGCCACTTGAAAACAGTGGGTTAGGGTTACCATCCACTGCTCTTGACGAGACTGCATCACCGAACGTGCTAAACTGAGTAGTTAGTTAACCCTCAGATAATTTGGTGCCACCCGCAACAAATTTTGACAATCATGGTATCAGAACAAATTACATAACAACTGCCTCATTACACTGCCTCAGTAACACTGCAGAAGCACAAAGGTTATCACTATGCAAATTTAAAGACAGCTGGCTAACCCTTGCAAACATCTAAAAATGTCATCATTTAAGACTGCCATGAAAGTCCCTCTAGAAGATAAAAAGCCTTTTCTGCATTTGCAAATATAGTAAAATGTAGGAAACTTATCATTCATATATTCTCTTGTGCATTCTGAATTTTATTACGAGAAAATTTAC